ACTGGAGTTATAGGCTTCTGGAAGGAGACCACAGAATATTTATCAAGAATAAATATTATCTATATAATTTATCACTGTTGATGTTGACCTCAGTAAACTGGCTGAGGTAATACTGTCAGGTTTCTCCCTGATAAATCCATTCTCCTCACCCTCCTTTTCATACTGTGCTCTTTGGAAGGGAGTTGCTATGTACAGCCTTAAGGAGTACGGAGTTATACTGTCTCCTTGGAAGTAAAGTATCTACATTATTTATTTGGAATTCTTCTGCTTGGGAGATTTATCTTTTCCATTTCTTTTTTTTCTGGCAGCGCCGCATGTAGGATCTTAGTTCCCTGACTAGGGATCGAAACTGCGCCACCTGCATTGGAAACACCGAGTCCTAACCACTGGACCACCAGGGAAGTCCTTTCCCCATTTATTTATTTATTTATTTAATTTTTGGCTGTGTTGGGTCTTTGTTTCTGTGCGAGGGCTTTCTCTAGTTGCGGCGAGCGGGGGCCACTCTTCATCGCGGTGCGCGGGCCTCTCACTGTCGCGGCCTCTCTTGTGGCGGAGCACAGGATCCAGACGCGCAGGCTCAGCAGTTGTGGCTCATGGGCCCAGCTCATGGGATCTTCCCAGACCCGGGCTCGAACCCATGTCCCCTGCATTGGCAGGCAGATTCTCAACCACTGCGCCACCAGGGAAGCCCCCCCCCATTTATTTATTCAGTCAATCATTTACTTACGTCAGTATGGACTAACAGATATATATTTTATACTTTGTGTTATAAGCTAACACTACCTAATTTATCTGGTTGCTGAACTTACTCTAGCTCAGGCCATTGGGAGCTCTCTCAGGGGTCTCCTGGGTCCCTTTAACATATCTCCTATCACTGTGGGTTTTTCTTTCTAGAGACTTCCTTACTTTCTCTCACACATATATAAGATGCTCCAGGCTCATCTTGTGTTTCCTGCCCCAGTCCTAGTGTCAGCCATTTCTTCAAGGAATCCTGGTTCATTTTACTGGAGATTAGAGACCACGATCTGGGCACTGGGTGTGCTTGTAGCTACTGGGATATCACTGCTTCTAGGCTCTCTCAGCTAACAAACCAAGGAAATATATGTGTATATACTAACCCGTGCATATATGTATATCTAAAAATATCTCTATATGCAACCAGCTCTATCTATATTAAGCTAAAGACAAGTTCACACTGATGGCTCCAACTCCAATCCATTACCACAGGGATAATTCTAGCCTCTTCCTCTTGTTTGTCTTCAACATCTCACTCCATGGGAAACTTGGCTCCCACCAGCCACCACCCTTTACTTAATTGTTCAATTCCATTATACACGTAGAGTGGTTTCTGAATTGTTAACCTGGGAGGAAACACTTTCTCAACAAGAGTACAATGTTTATGTACAGTTCCTTTTTCCTTTATTTTTACATATGCCACCCATTTCAAAAGTGACTCAGATCAGCACTTTTTTCCTTCAACTTTTTTTAGTGAGGTTATTCCATACATTTGCAGTAGGGTTTAGATTATTTTATCACAGTCTCCATCCTAGGATCCCATGATATCCTAATTGATTTAAAAAATTTTTTCATATATTCAGGTTCAATTTTTGTGCTATAAAGTTAGGACTTGACAGAAGCATAGTGTTTTATATCTATCATTACAGTATTACATGGAATAGTCTCACTGCTCCAAAAAGTTCCCTTGGCTTCACCTATTCAAGTCTCCCTGACCTTGAACTTATGGTAACCATTAACCTGTTTGTAATCTTTATACAGTTTATTTATAGTTTTTTAGATGTAGTTTTCCCTTTTAGAATGTGATATAAATGATATCATACAGTACGTAGCCTTCTCAGACTGGCTTCTTTCACTTAGCAATATGCCTTTAAGATTCATCTATGTCTTCGTGTCACCTGATAGCTAATTTTTCTTCTTCTTTTTCTTTTTTTTGCTGACTAGTACTCCAATTGTATGGATATACCACTGCTTGTTTATCCATTCACTGACTGAAAGACATTTTGGTTGCTTCCAATTCTTGAATATGAATAAAATTGCTATGAACACTTGTGTGCAGGTTCTGGTTGTGGACATATGTTTTCAAATCAGTTGGATAAATACCTAGGAGTGCAATCAGTGGTTTGCTAAAGACTATATTTAGCTTTGTAAGAAACTGCGAAATGGTCTTCCAAAATGGCTGTACCATTTTGTATTTCCACCAGCAATGAATGAGAGTCCCTACTGCTCTGCATCCTTGTCAACATTTTGCTACTGTCAGTTTTTAAATTTTAGCCATGCTAATAGGTAATAGTATCTTATTGTTTTAATTTTCATTTCTCTAATGACAAATGATGTTGAGCATCTTTTCATTTGCCTATTTGATAGCTATATGTCTTCACTGCAATGTCTGTTCTTATCTTTTGACCATCTTTTAATTGGGCTGTTTGTTTTCTTATTGTTGGGTATTAAGAGTTCTTTGTACATTTTAGATACAAGTCCTTGATCAAATATATGTCTGTGGCTTGTCCTTTCATTCCCTTAACAGTGCAGAGCAGTCAATTATTAAGTCCAACTTACAATGTTTTTCTTTCATGGATGCTTTTGGTGTTGTATCTAAAACCTTATCACCAAACTTAAGGCCACAAATATTTTCTCTATGTTTTCTTCTAGAAGAGTTTTATATTGTAGTTTGCATTTTACAGGTAGGTTTTTGATCAGTTTTGAGTTAATTTCTCTGAAAGGTGAGCCAGTGTTGTTGTTTTTTTTTCTCATAAGGTTCTCCTTAAAAGACTGCTTCAGAAAGGTATCTTGCTGGAGTTTTAGCATAAACAAATAAACAAACAAACAAAAACAGTAACAGCCAACAGCACCTCATAGCTTTTGAAGTTAATGCTTACAGACGTCAATAATAGAGGTGTAATGTCTGGATCTAAGGGAGAAACTCTTCCTATAGCAATCTGCCATGGCCAGACCATATCTATGGTTTAGTATGCTTTGCTCTGGGTGGCAACTTGATTTAATAGTGAAATTGGTAAGCTGGAATTCATCTAGAGAGCAATTGGTATGATAAAGAGTCTGAGTACAATTGTTACAGCTGTTTTCATGATATGTCTATTTCCCTATCTCTTTTATTCCTAGACACTGAACAGCTTGTGGGCAGGACATATATATATTTTCATCATACATGCCCAGAGTCTAGCACTTAGTACGTGTTAAATAAGTATTTAATTAGTGAATTCAGTGAAGAAGTTAAGGATGTTTAATACAGAAAATAAGAATTCCTCAGACAATATATCCCTTTGAATAGCCACCATATCTCTTGGGAAGAGGATGTATGATAATTATCAACAAATATTTGAAGGGCTATCATGCAGAAAAGGGATTAGAACCAAGACAGAATTCACAGAGGTACAGAATTTCAACTCATTATACATAAGAGGAGGCTGTCTTATGGTGAGCCTGCAATCACTGAAAAAATTAAAAGAGCTTGACTGAATCTTTGTGAGGGCTATCAGGAGAGGGGGCTTCTGCATTGAGAAGGAGAGTGTATGAACCACTTCCTGTGTCTTTCAATGCTGAAGCTCTATGGGCTCTAACAGATCTAGTACACAGTCAAATAAAGAATTTCAAAAGCTCTAAGAACAGAAATAATTATGGTGTCCTATTCAAAATTAAAAACAAAAATTTGTGATTCAAAATTTGTAATTCAAAATTAAAAACAAAAATCTATATTATAAAGTATTTGCTAGGAATTCCAATAAAATTCATGTGTTCCCATGATTACTTGTCTTTTTTTTTCATACAGCGAGTATAAACCATTCCCCCTTAATTCTCCCTTTCTCTCTTTCATGCTGTTCCTTTGCAGGACCATACAAATGTGATTATTTCTGCTTATTGCCCAGTACTGACTTTCTGATTCTAGGTACAAGACAAGGAGTATGCCAAGACTTCTTTTGGAATCATCTGTAAAACTAAAAACAAACAAACAAAAAACTACTCTGAAGAAACCCCAGGCAAAGGCAGGAAAGTCCATGGCCTTTTCGTTTAAAATGTTCATTTATAATAACTATAGCAGCAATAAACCTGGAGACTGTCTAGTCCATAGTATAAAATGCAGTTATGCATTTCAAAAATAAGAGCCACCTACAACTGATATACAACGCTTGCCAGCTCTCAAACCACTAACATTCATAATGATGATCTAGAGATGGTGATGCTATTCAAGTACAGCCTTAATCAAAGATGAGATGACTTATATTCCACTTAGTTTTAAATTTTAAGTTTCTTCCCATTGTGCTCTAATTCTTTGAAAATTGATACACGTGCCAAAACACATGATTAAACAGAACATCTTAGGCCTTGATCATATATACGTGATAACAGAATTTAAGGCAAAAGCTAATTTGTTAATGACTATCAACTTACAAATGCTGTACTAACTTGTTGATTATATTTATCACATGAATTTTTTTTCATTGTAGCTAAGTAAGTTTCATACTTTCCTCTCATGGTATCTTAATTGTTGAACAAATTTACAGGTCACGCATTATTTCCCAAGAATTCTGTGAAAAACCAAATGTTGAACTAAGTGAATATTGATTTATTTATAACACTTCTGTATTCAGAAAACTAGTTCTTTGATTCAACAGGTCTTGATTGTTACTTTAACTCCTATAAGAAACCTGTTAGAGCTTTCATGGAAAGGGAAGGAGAGTGAACCTTTTCCTATAAGTAATGTGAGTCATTTTCTCCCCCATCCTAGAGCTGCCACTGAGCTGATATGTTCTCATGAGGAACTGACCTCCCCAAGTTACAACGGAAAAGGTACACTGAAATAACCTTGCCAGGCCTTGTTATGAGGGTTAGTGCTTGCTTAAGAAAAATAAACTGCTCCCTGAGGCAATGATGCTAGATTAAAGATTTGAAATAAACCCGTGGTGAACCATAATTATTTTTTTAAAGACTTATTTATAATTTTAAAAAGCAGATAAAAAAATACTTACTGGAACATCAACATATTTTGCGGCTGCTTTCACCTTAAGTGGAAAAGAGATAATTATGAGAATTATTTTCTTAACTGTTTGATAAGTACTGTGACAGCAGTCAAAAGACAGCAGAGGAGAACTCATTCAAAATACTCACAGTGAATGACAGAATGGATGAAAAGAAAGTGCCTTCATCATATCTTGACAGCTTAGACAACACCCCTTCCAACACTGAAACAAACTAGAATACAGTTTATAGTGAGTATTTAGGATAGTGCTGTGCATACAAACAAATAACGGGGCAAACAATTCTTGGACCAACTTCTCCCGTGGCACAAAAATCTGAAATGTATAAACTGACACAATGACAAAATCTCATTTTGAAGATGAACTCTAAGGTCCTTTTACATTGCTGGAAAAAATACGCACATTTTTTAAGATAAAAGAACAATGTGTAATAGGAGTCTGGTTACTACGTGTGAGATGACTTAAACCATTAGTAAAAAACTTTAAATCCCTGTGACTCTTCCTTAATATAATTTTCAACTCCAATATAGATGTTTATAAGTCCTCATCACAAGAAAAACTGTTGTAACTATGTATGGGGATGGACTTATTTTGGTGATCATTTTGCAGTTTATACAGATATCAAATCACTATGCTGTATACCTGCAACTAACATAATGTTGTATGTCAATGATACCTCAATAAAAAAAATAGAGAGATGTTTCGAGGCAACGATGGTCAAGCTTCATCAAATTCCTTTCTATCATATAGCACTCGACCATTCCCCAACTTTTTCTATCTACAGAAGAGGTTGAATGACAAAGAACAGATAATGAAAAGGTGTAACATTTGGGGCCCTTGTAACATTGAAATGAAGTATGATACATCAGCTAACGAGTATTCACCAAGCAGTTCCAATTGGGACATGTAAGGATCATCCCTGCTTTCAGAAGCTCACAAAGTAGTTGGGGAGCTCAAACAGATACACGCACTGCAGAGTACAATGAAAAGAGCACCAGACTGAGAATATAAATCCTGATTCTGTCATTGACTGACTGCTATGTGGGCTCCAGCCAACCAGTGCACTGGTTCCCCCATCAGTCAAAGGTGTGTTTGTGTTGGTGGGACGGGTATGGAATTAAAATTGTCTTAAGAGTTTTACATTTCTAAAATTTTATACTTCTATGAAATGAGACTTAAGACATATATACTGTAATGTAATTAAAAATGTGGAGAATTTTATTTCATTGAGCAGAAACACTGAGTTCTGGCATGAAGATAAATAAAAGATATTAATAAGGATCTACTGCCCTACATCTTTCCTCTTTAGAAGCAAAATAATATGCACTATTGACAAATTATACCTTCCCAAAGGGAAAATACCGACAAGGTTTTTTAAATACAAAAAGGGAAATTAATGAAGGCTGGTTTTTGTTCACACAGCAGCTTCTTCAACAAAGGGATAATAGTTCTAGGGACACACCTTATTGGTCTCTGGTGAGCAGAGAACTCGCTGAGAGTGCACAGGAGATAATCTTTTCTCTATGGCTGGTCAATTACTGCAAAATAGTTTATGCAAAAGAAACAAAAACTTCCCTGCAGGTTTCTCCATCACATCATTTGAGACATGATGTAAGAACACAGAAACAAATTCATGTGAACTGCTGACTAAAATTTTATTTTTATTAAAGAATGAGAACTATGTATGGTTGGTTAGTTATCCTTGGGGATACAAATAGCAAAATACATAAAATTACAAATTGCTCACAACTAAAAGTCAGTTTAGCACTTTCCTCCTGCCCATTAAGATTTCTTACCAACCACAGCTGGCTACCTCAACTTGCTGTGGTTGGCAAAGACCCAGAAGACCTATACTCCAGGCCTATGACCAGGGGAAGGGAATGCCAAACTTAATGGCCCTCTGCGGAAAATGCCTCATCTCTTGTAACTCAAATCTTGAAAGCCAGTGTGTGATGGGTGATATCATTTGCCACGAGGAGAGAGACAACGTGAACCACTGAAGGCTCTAGCATAGCATCTGGTTCTTGGTGCCTTCAAGTGAGTATTTGTTTACACAGGTGAGTGATGCTGAGGGACTAGGCAAAGTAGAGGCAGATCCTGTGGATGGATTTAGAAGACCTTAGCTCGAGTTGAAGCTCTGCCGCTCTCTGGAGGTGAGACAACGGTCTGGACATTCAGCTTCTCTAGCCTCAGTGTACTCATTAGTAAAACGGGGGGATGTCGCTGCTTTGCTCACAGTAAGGACGGTGCGAACATCAGCAGAGATGATTTAGGTGAAGGGACTGTGAAAATGGCAACACACTACGAGATGTAAAGAATGAATATTATCGGTATGATGAGTCAAATCACTAACCATTATATGTCTAAAAACCTACACATGTTAAGTCACAAGTTAACGGAGGTAGCCTTGGGATTGTTTAGTGATAAGGAGAAATAATGCATTTGGTTACCAGAGAATGCGTCTAATTCAGTGACGTGATATCTATGGAGGCAGGATAGAGTTGATGCTGTAAGTCAGAAGACCCATGTCGGAATCCCATCTGTTTCAAGGTCATGTGGCTGACAGTAGAGGAGGGAGGCTTTGGACACAGGTGGTCTGGCTCCAAAGCCCGTGTTCTTTGCCATCACACTACAGAGTTGTAAGCATTAAATGACACGACATAACTAATGTGCCTAGCATATAATAAGTGCTCAATAAATGCTATTTTCTTCTTCTTATTGAGCACCTAATATGGGAAATACAAAAAAAAAAAATGAGTCTTAGACCCTTCCCTCCAGGAATGCACAAACTAGTAGGAGAGACAGACGTGTACACAGTTGGTCATGACACAAGGCAGGAAGTGATGAGGGACAAACAGTGTAACTGAAACTGACTTCCACTGGAGGATACTGGGTAAGCTTCGTTTGCATGGTGGCACAGGGGCTGAGCAGCAGGGTAGCAGAAATCGAGTGGCTAAAACAACACTTGGGGAAGCCCATTAGCAGATGACCTTAGGGCAGAAGTTGCCCCACTGTGGCATCTGACAACCTGTCTGGCTCGTCTTCTCTTTAGAGTGTGAAGGAGCACCAGGTTATATCCCACGAAGTCTAGTGTGTGCACCTGCTGCATGCATGTCACAGCATTCTTGGGCTCCATTTTTTTTTTTTTTTTTGTTATGCGGGCCTCTCACTGTTGTGGCCTCTCCCGTTGCGGAGCACAGGCTCCGGACGCGCAGGCCCAGCGGCCATGGCTCACGGGCCCAGCCGCTCCGCGGCATGTGGGATCTTCCCGGACCGGGGCATGAACCCGTGTCGCCTGCATCGGCAGGCGCACTCTCAACCACTGCGCCACCAGGGAAGCCCCTTGGCCTCCATTTTAACAATAGTGTAGAGCCTCTCCCTGGGATCCTCCCTACCCCAAATGGTCCCTGGGGAGGCCCAATACGGCAGGGACTCTAAGTGCTTACATGGCAGTGAACAGCGACTGCACCTCTGGGACCAACCACGTGAGCCATACAGTTCCAACAGGAAGGTTTTCTTTGTAAGATTTCTGTCAAGGCACACGTGGTGGAAGAGCTACCTTAAAACCCAAAATCTATGCACAAGATTGACTAATAATGATGTAGTTTCCATCTGGCTTTTAATTGTAGAAGGCAGCAAGATTCTAAAGAAATCCAGCTAAATGCTGGGTTTAGTTGCTGTGTCTTTAACTGCTTCCTGTGAACTTTCTCTGTACAGCTCAGGGAGGATATAAATACTTACAGGTTTGCCTTGCGCTCCCTGTTCTCCTGAGGGTGTCAGGTTGGAACGAAACCCTGTAATCTCTGTTTCCCTGCTTTTTATTGCGGATGTCATTTACTGGGTTTGTTTGAATAATATTTAGCGCCCAAAGTCTGTCTGGGTCATTACCAACTTTGCCTCATTATGTACACTCTCAGGGAAATTAAAGATGAAGGTATGTTGAAAGGACTGGTAGAATGAAACATGAAGTATGCCACAAGGCATGTCGGTTTAAATTTCCTGCTGGATTTTAACAGGGTATAGGATTCATTTTCCTACATGTATGGAAAGTAGAACGACAAATTCTGAGAAGTGATAGGAACGATTCAGCTGTAGATTGGTGGATTCAAAACACGCAGTTCTTACTTTTTTCAACTGAAATTTCAGGAAGTAAACAAGGAATATTTGCATCATTTACACTGCAAGTTATTAAATCTTCCACAGAAAAAAGATGCATCCATAAACAAGACTAATCATGAAAAACTAGGTGTATTTTGGAGCGGGGGAGGATAAATAGGGCTGGAGATATCTATCAGATGTTTTATTTTTGTTTGGTACAATCAGGACTGACTAGTACTGTTAAAAATCCACCTGGAACCAGAATGTCATGGATTGGAAAAAAGGTTTCCTTCCCTGAACTGGAATGTTAATGTTATGATACAATGGAAAATAATCCTCACTTCTCCCACTGTGTATCCACGTCCTCTTTGAACCTTTGTTCCAAATGACTCCGAAAAGGTCCTTCCAGATGGTCCAGATCGGTATTGAGGATGGACAGGATCTGACAGCACGTATTTATACGACATGCCTTGTTCTGCACAGTATCTCAGACAACTTCCAAAACAGCACGCCTAGCCCGGATGTTGGTGAAGTCTCCACATTCCTCTCATTGTTCCTTTCTCCCTTGTCTCCCAAATAGACTGAACTATGTTAGTTTGTATTTCTTTTCTTCTAATTACTCCTAACAGTGCATGTTATTCCTTTCAAGCACATTCTTGGGTTTCAACAGTTGTCTTCTGAATACATTGTCTTGATCCAAACAAGTAAATTTAACCAAGTTAACTTAATCAGACTGAATTGGTGGTGGTGGAGGAGATACTTTAATTGCATCATCTAGACAGTCAGGTCAGATTTGTCCTCTGTCCCTCTTAAGAGAAATTCAGGGGAAAATATTCTAGGTTATTAAAAAGCATAGGTGGGGCTTCCCTGGTGGCACAGTGGTTGAGAGTCCACCTGCCGATGCAGGGGACGCGGGTTTGTGCCCCGGTCCGGGAGGATCCCACATGCCGCGGAGCGGCTGGGCTCGTGAGCCATGGCCTGTGAGCCTGCGCGTCCGGAGCCTGTGCTCCGCAACGGGAGAGGCCACAACAGTGAGAGGCCCGCGTACCGCAAAAAACAAACAAACAAAAAAAAGGTGTTGTGGTATGTACAGGTATTTAAACCTACATACCTATA